TGACTAGATTGGAAGTACTCCGGATCAAAGTAACCGAATGTCCCTTTGACTAACGTGGTTAAGTGGGTTTGATCTACTGATACTAATCTTGAAGTTCCAAAGTCAGAAACTTTGGCTCTGTATTTTTCATCCAAAAGTATGTTACTGGTCTTGATGTCCCTATGGTATATCGGATTGGAAGTTGCGGAATGTAAGTAAGAAAGTGCTCCTGCAACCTCGGCAGCTATTTGTAATCTTATGCTCAAAGAAAATGGGAAATCATCGGTGTCGTTTTGAATAAGGTTGTACAAGGTGCCATTAGATATGAATTCGTAGACAAGCAAAGGAACGTCTGTCTCTAGGCAACATCCCAATAGCTTGACCACATTCCGATGATTGAGTTGTGAAAGAAYGACAACCTCGTTGATGAACTGAGCTAGTCGGCTTTCGTCAACAACTGTAGATTTCTTAACTGCGACAATCCTTCCATCGGCTAACATGCCTTTATACACAGTGCCTTGACCTCCTCGACCAAGAATTCGGTTATCGTGAAAATGGTTGGTGGCCTTCTCCAAGTCCTTGGAGGTGAAAAGTATGGTTCTATGATCAACTAAACCAGTATTRGTTGCCTCCTGTTGCTCAAGAAGTAAACCACCATTGCGTTTATATAACCTTTSTTTTCGTCTCTTGGCCTTTGTTTTCTTGATGACTTTGTATAACACATAGGTGGCGAAGGTCATGAAAATCAATCCCATACTTATGCTAACACCTAAAACAAGCAAATATAAGGTGGAAACCCTTCAGATACTACACTTTTACTATTAGTGTCCATTAAAAAAGTACCCTTCATATTAACAAATGTGTTTTATAAAATTAGAATGTCTATTTTTGTTTGGAGAAAGGTGGGATGGTAATTGTGACGACAACAATAGGGACATGATGGTCGATGGAGTGGATGGTGGACGACAACATAAGTGACATAGTGACGACGACAGTAGTGACATGGTGGTCGGGTGGGAGGTGACTTGTGCCAGTTGTGAAGACGACAATAGTCACATGACGGTAAGTGATGTTGTTAGGGGGTAGGGGTGGGAATGGTGGCAGGTGTGCAACAACAATTGTGGTGTAATGGTGGGGATTAGGGGTAGGTTGTGATAATGGCAATAGTAGTATAGTCGTGGTTGAGACACGAGGTGGGTGGTGTTGGTTAAATTGTATGTGAAGAAATGAAATTCAATTTCTTCACTAGTATTAATGAATGATTGATTTTTTTTAATTTGTGAAATTAAAAAGATTTCTACATTTTCATTTTCAAAATCAAAATTTTAAACTAAAAGAGACAAGGGTATAGTAGGTGTGTGTGTTTAATCAAGTAAAAAGAAATAGAAAAAGCTGACATCATATAACCAAAAACGACATGTCAATTTCATGAAACTCTTGCACATGGAAATCATATAAACAAAAACGACATGTCAATTTCATGAAACTTGGAAGGGAATAAAAGGGGTGTTTAGGATTGTTTATAAAAATAATTTGTTGATTTATTTCGGTGTAAAATCGGTAATAAGTATTTTTGGGTGTTCGGATAAACAACTTATATAGGTGTCAAACCGGTAATAAGAAGTTTTTGATGAAGTTAAACTATTCTTACTTATAATAAGTTGATAAGGACTTTTACGAAAAAGCATAAGTTATTTCAAATAAGCAATCCCAAACACCCCTGTAAGTAGGGGTGCTCAAAAACCCAATCAACCCATCCCAACCCAACGCGAAATAACTTAATCCAAAGCTACCCGATGTCTAATTGAGTTGTAAAATTGTCAAACCATAGATATTGGGTTACCATTATTTGAACCCAACCCAACCTGATGAATCCGATATCCTTTTATTTCTTGGGTTTAATATGATTGTTGAATTTCTATTAATATATAGGGCTGTAAACGAACCGTTCGGTGGGAAGTTCGTTTATGTTCGTTTATTTAATAAATAAACGAAAATAAACAAAAAAATTTGTTCGTTTAGTTAAACGAACGAACATGAACAATGATCTCATTCGTTCATTTATGTTCGTGAACGTTCGTTTGTTTACCGTTCGTTTATATTTATTCGTTTATGTTCGTTTATATACTAAATTTAATATATAATCTTTTGTTTATTTACTTTAAATTCAAATAATATTTATTTATGTTCGTTTAGCTCGTTCGTTTAGCATGTTAACAAACGAACATAAACGGACTCGAACACACCTGATTTCTAAACGAACGAACACGAACACAAAGAKTTTCGTTCATTTACCGTTCGTGTTCGTTCGTTTGTTCGGTTAAGTTAAACGAACGAACATGAACAAGCCTCTGTTCGTGTTCCTTCGGTTCGTTTACAACCCTAAATATATATATTAGACAATTACACTATTATGTATGCTTTTCATATACACATATTTTCAATCTATCTATATTTCTATATATACTCATTCATATATATGTTCAGTAACTGTGAACATATATATGTAAATTGAGAAAATTAGCTGAATGTGATATACGTAAGAAATTTGGATAAGTTGTATCAAATGGCTGATGATGAAAAATAATTTATTAGTAGAGAAAATAACATATTCAAGGTTAGAATAATATTTTAATGTACCAAAGTATCAATCCGACCAACCCGTACGGGTTGGGTTGGGTTAARATTTTTTCAAACCGCAAGCATTTTTGAAAATTAAGATTTTTGGTTTAATAATATAATATTTTATAAAGATAATAATTAAGTATTCTGTTAGAACTTAATGATTATCCTAATT